ATATATATATATATATATATATATATATATATATCTTAATGCATTTGACCTAGACTTGTTATTTCCAAACTTGGCCAACCGTACTACATATGTAGTGCATCTACTGGAAAGTACGAGAATGTACTAGTAGTACCTCATCAATCTTGTTGGTGGATGCCCAGTACACTATGTAACATACGCTGTGCGCCGAGAACACTGCCAGAGTGATGTGGCCAAGCCAAACGTGATATCTGATGCTGGACTCGGAGGTAAGCCCGACGAGTGGCAACAGCGACGACCCACGAATGACCGGGAAGAAGAGAAAGGCGCAGCAGAGGTCCCCAAGTAATGCCAATCGGATTCCCGCACCGTCCAGCCTTGTTTGCCATCTGTCCATTTATATGCACCACAACCTCGTCAGCTAAGAGAAAATATATACTAAACCCACAAATCAACGCAGATAAAAATGTTTCATTCTTTGTCTTACAATTTCAACATCTCTCCGGTATCCTGAGAATGAGACTGGTGCGAGTTGGAGAAGTTAACGACAAGGTACATGGTATAGAACCAGATGAGGAGCACCAGAAACAACACACAGAAGGTCAACTCTATGCCGGAAACTATTCCAAGCGGCCAGTTCACAACCACAGGTCTCTTCCATGCAGCCAGACTATGAGTTGAGCTGCCACTGAATAAACAATAACAGTTGCATGAGAAAGGTACTGCTTACAGCGATACAAGGGATTCCACCACATCTTGTAATGTATACCTCTGGGAGTTGTCCGTTCTCTTCACCAGGTGGAGATAAATACAGCCAAGAACTGAAATAAACAAGATGGGAAACGTGTAGATCAAGATGTTGGTACCTGTGGTGCACACACAATGTGAGTATAGAGATAAAAGCTGTACGAGAAGAAAAGGAAGAACAAGTTAACGCCAGGTTATCAATGTCAAAGACGGCAGCACACCCTGCCGTCCAAAATATGTTGAGTCAGTCTCTGAGAGGAGCTGCGGCGACCATTGGTTTTGGTATGTTTTTGTAGGCCTGACGATCCATATCATCAGCCACCCGGCAAACACAATTGCAGCAAGTAGCTGCGTTGCCTTTAGGATCATCCGCTTGCTACCAGTTTGACGAAGGAGACCTCGGACAGCCTTGTCCATCTCTTCCTCTCAAGAATCGACTGTGGCTAATGCTTGTAATGTACCACCACCGGGGTGGCGATGCCTGTTATATAGGGACCTAAAGGGAAGGGAAGGCATGATTCACGTCCTCCATCCATACACACGCGTCATTTAACAGGCCGCCCCATCTGAGTCAACTCGACTGCGGGTAAACAACCCGTTGACATACAACCCGTTGACATCTACTTAACGCTAATATTGTGTGGTCCACTTGCAGTGCCACCACAAGTGCTGTCACATCTTCTAGTGTCAGGCTTCAGTTATCTTATCGAACCACATGTTCCGTCAAAATACGTAAATCACTTAATACAGGCAAGTGTACAAAGGAGAAAACATTATAAGAACAATGAGATAATATCGAGGTAACACTCAAGTCTCGCAGAAGTCGATATGGGTGTGCTTAAGCACTTCGACGATGACTTGCACGAAGATTAAAGTTAGGAGTGGATTTTCTGACTTATCCCTTCGATACATAAGATAGCAGATGAAGTGAGATGAAAGTGATAAAAAGATAATGAATCTTGAGTCATGTTTTAAAGATAAATTTTTATATAAAATAAAACGGGAGTAGAATATGTTAGTTTGGCAAGTCCCATAGTCCCACATCGGGAAAATCAGACTTGTTATCTCCTATTGGAACTATAACTAAGGGTCTGAGCTTTAAAGTCAGATGCACAAGTCCATACTTAGTTAAATAGTTTGGGCTTATAGTTGATGTTTTTCTTGTTTAGTATTTTCGAGTGTTTTATGGCCTAGGAACATCTTCCTAAGGCATTTATAATTGTCTCTTTTCATAGTAGTGATGTAGGTCAAGGTTAATTGACCGAACCACGTAAATCTGGTGTTCTTGTCGCTTCTTTTATTCTTCCGCTTTATTATCTTTGTTGGGTTGCCAAAATTATCCTTTGGTAAATTTCCTGGGGCTAGCTCTAACAAACTGGTATCAGAGCCTGGTTTCGAGATCTTTTGGCAACGATGACAATAACAAATTCGGGATCTTTTGATAACGATAAGTTTGATTCTTTGGTTATGGATTTGGAGAATATAGATGCAAAAATTGATGATGAGGATAAGGCTTTGTTACTCTTATGTTCTCTTCCCCAATCTTTTAAGCATTTTCGTGATACTTTGATTTATGGAAAAGAAACAGTTTCGTATCAAGAAATTAAATCTGCACTAAAATCTAAGGAGCAGATAGATAGATAGATAGAGATATCACTGGGGAAAGTAGAGAGAATCAGGTTGAAGGTCTGGTTGTCAGGGATAGAATGAATAAAAGAGAAGGGATAGAATTGATAAAAGAGAATTTGACAGTAGTAGATCTAAATCTAGATCTAAACCCATACATAGAAATTTGGAATGCAGATATTGTCATAAAATGGGGCACATTAAGGCTGATTGCTTTAAATTGAAAAATAAATTAAAGCAAAAAGGAAAACTTGTTGAAAAAACTACTGAGTCCGCTGAAACTAGTGTAGCATCTCATGAGAATGTTGAAAATATTTTATTTGCTACTGATGACAGGACGATGTCTAAAAATGAATGGATTTTAGATTCAGGTTATTCTTATCACATGTGTCCTAATAGCGATTTGTTTTCCACATATGAATCTTGTAATTGTGGAATTGTTTTGATGGACAATAATGCCACATGTGATGTTGTTGGTAGAGGGACAATCCGAATTAAAATGCATGATGGTATTGTGAGGACGCTAACTAATGTTAGACATTTCTTGATTTAAAAAAGAATCTCATCTCTTTAGGCACCCTAGAGGCCCTTGGGTGTAAATACACAGTTGAAGGTGGAGTTATGAAAGTTTCTATAAGTGCTCTTGTTGTTATGAAAGCTTGTAGATCTGGTAGCTTGTATATTTTGCAGGGAACTACTGTCACAGGCTTAGTTGCAGTCTCGTCATCATCATGGTATGATTCTTTTCATTCGAACTCTTCTACTCAAAGAATACCAGTAGATGGTCCTGAGTCTACTAACGAAGTTGCTTCAGAGGAAGAGCAATATTCCATAGCCAAGGATAGACCACAGAGAGATATTCGACCACCACAAAGATATGCAAATTTGGTTGTATATGCTTTGTCTGTTGCAGAAGAAACAAGTAAAGTTGGTGAGCCTACTTCTTACTCAGATGTAGTTTCTTTTGATAATTCCGCTAAGTGGTTGATTGCGATGAATGAAGAAATAGAATCTCTCTATCAGAATAGAACTTGGGATCTTGTGAAATCGCCTTCGAGTAAGAAAATTGTTGGATGCAAATGAGATATCATTGCTGAGGGAAAGGTCCTTGTTCAGAAAATTCATACGAAGGACAATCTAGCTGATATGCTTACGAAGCCTCTTCCGGTTTACAAGTTCAAGCAGTGCTTGGACTTGGTGTTCATTGTTGGTGATTGCCCGTTGGGGCTTTTATGAAGAAGGTGGAGCAAGTTTTGTTGGGACATGCCAAGGTGGAGATTTGTTAGTTTGGCAAGTCCCATAGTCCCACATCGGGAAAATCAGACTTGTTATCTCCTATTGGAACTATAAATAAGGGTCTGAGCTTTGAAGTCAGATGCACCACAAGTAACACCACAAGAAAAACCTAAGTGTTTGCTTTGAGTTTAAGTCCATACTCAGTTAAATAGTTTGGGCTTATAATTGAGGTTTTTTTTGTTTAGTATTTTCGGGTGTTTTATGGCCTATGAACATCTTTGTAAGGCATTTGTAATTGTCCCTTTTCATAGTAGTGATTTGCTCATCTTTCGTCCGTGAATGTAGGTCAAGGTTAATTGATCGAACCACGTAAATATGGTGTTCTTGTCGCTTCTTTTATTCTTTCGCTTTATTATCTTTGTTGGGTTGCCAAAATTACCTTGGTAAATTTCTTGGGGCTACTCTAACAGAATAGTCACAAAGGGACAACCCCTAATCGTTTCTCTTACATCTTTTGTCCACGTATACGAAAAAAAATTATTTATTATAGACTTACGTCCACAAGAGTAGACCAAGGAAATAAATCTTCTCTCCCCTATGCCAACTTTGCTGTTAAATTTATGTCACAAGTCAAATAATAATTGATCAACAATATTTTCTCTATTAATATATAGAATTAAAATTTTTAAATATTTAATATATTAAACAAAATATATAAAAAAATAAGACTGTTATTATGAATTAACCCAACATAATTCCAAACTTCTTTATATATCCTCTCATATAAATTTCCCAATCCCTCAATGTATTAAACAAAAGCCAACAGCTCTCTCGCAAGCCCGTGTATGTGACCGAATAATATACGAATACAACTCTACAAAACTATTTTTATTGTGGATGAGGATACTGAGAACATATAAATTTAAAATGAGGACAAAAAGAATACTGATAAAAACTTAGCTAAATTTACGATGAGTTTCCTTAAAATAAATAAAGGGTTTCGAAGTAGATACACTCAGTAGCCTAATTACAAACGCTTAAAGTTGGCCCATACACTTTCTGAACAAATATTTTTTTTAGTTCTTGAAAAATATTTAAAAATAAGCTAATGACTATAAATACATCTCACCTTTAGACTAACGTAGTTTAAATATGCACGTAAAGCCTAATAAAAATAATAGTAAACCTATCCAGCCTCATCTATGGATAAACTTAACAGGTCTAAGTTAATAATCAGAGATATCTAAAACAAAATGAATAATTATAGATTTACCAATTGGTGCAAAATTAACCCAATTCTCAATCCATATAAAATGCGATAAAAAATTAATATATATAGCCAAAAGCTTAAGCTGTTTTAAGCACACCCTTAGGGGCAATTTCACGTGGTTGCGGCACGTGATAACGCACATTTTAAGCGCTTCCAACTCGTCGAGTCCGGCTGGTCAATAAAACCTAGCGTCACCAGCTGAAGCTTATCGACTCGAAGTGCAACCTTTTGCCCGGACCTGATGAACAGATGTTTGCAACAGCATGACGCAAGGAACTCGGCCCACTGGCCATGACTCCTATGTTGGAGCCCTCGCTCTCCAATAGCATCTCTACCAGCACAAAAGTACACCACTGTCAGCTCACAGCACAAATTTCAGAAGCATGGAAAAGTAAGGATAGCAGATTATGAATGGCCCTTACTCTTGAAATCAGGCCTCTCTCCGAAATGTACCGTGGTTGCTCCAACGATGAACTGATGAGGAACACTCTCCAATTCACGATCAGTAAGGGCCTCTGTGTTCTGGATCTTTGCTTTCATGGTGCTTCTCTTCTTGTTCCACAGGACCGCTGCGGTAGATGTCACGACTATGCATATGCATATAAACAGAAGATTTAGGAGGGATTTCCATGACGAGAAGAAGCCATTGGTGCCATTTTCGATTGGGTATAAGTAGTAGCGTGTTACGATGCCAACGAGCACGAGGAAGGCGACGAAGGAGGACGAGATTATTGCGCCTAGCCAGAGCCAGCTGTCGCGTCCGAGGACTGGTGCGAGAGGCAGGTCTGAAGGATCAGAGATGAACCAAGCTGTCCGGATGAGCTTGCTAGGTTCGTTGGGCGGAACACTTTCCCTTGTGACAAAGGCTTCGATTCGTAGCCGCAAGCGAGAGAAGTCGGAGACGGTGCTAGAAACTGGGAGGAGGAGATCGAGCATGGTGAGGTCGGCGGAGGTCTTGAAGGCGCAAATCAAGAGGACACTTGGGGTAGGACTGTCAGTTGTGCTACGGAAGATGAGCTCCCGAATTATGGACATGAAAGGGGTGATTCCACTGCCACCACTCACCATTACGATAGAATCATACCTGTAAGCAGGATGGTTAGTGCCTTGTGGTTCATGAGCAAGAAATTAAGTCATGGCGAGATTTCTGTATGAATTCGTGGACACACCTTAGAAAGGCCATTGCGTTAGGGCCATAAGGGCCTTCCACTGAAACTTCCAGACGATCAAGGGAAGAAGAAGAGACTTTATGGCACAGTTTCTCTGTCCAGCTTCCTTCTTTCTTGATGACGATGCTAAGTCTGT